CACCCCCTCCTCCCCTTCCCAGGTCCCCTGCAGTGGGATTTATTGCAGGCTGAGGGGAGCTTCAGTGCTCAGTGTGGCTCTTGGGTTCCAGGCTGGAGGAGTTGGGTTTGTCTCTGGACCATCACATCCTGGATGGTTTGCATCTTCTCGGTGTTCTTTACTATGAGGGTGCTGAGGCGCTGGCACAGGTTGCCCAGACAAGCTGTGGCTGCCCCATCCCTGGCAGTGTTCAAGGCCAGGTTGGATGGGACTTTGAGCAACCTGCTCTAGTGGAAGGTGTCCCTGCCCATGGCAGGGGGTTGGAACTGGATGAGCTTTAAGGTCCCTTCAAACCCAAATGAATCTGTGATTCTATGGTCTCAAAAAGGTTTTGTTTGTGTTTTGCTTTTATGTTATTTAGCTGAAAGTCAGGAAATTCTCCACCTGCTACCTTTGGTAAGCTAAGGCTTTTTGGATTTGTGGGTTTATTCTCTCCAGGCAACCTTAAGCTTTTCGGGCTGTATCATTCTTCATAGACTATTATAAATTTCTTTATAATGCCCTGCAGTATGTTCCCTTGAAACGTCAAGATTGCAAACTCTTATTTTTGCAAAACAGCAATTGGAAAAGATCTTGCTTTTTTTATCAGGATCAATTTTGTACATAAATTTTGAGCATGAGTATCAATTACTCTTTTGGAGAGATTTTCATATTCAAAGAAATGAAAAATACTGTATAAAGAATGCAATACAGATATATCGGGATCCCTTAACTAGCAATAGTGTGAATGTTTCCCAGCTGTGCTGGATTTCTAGGAGCTGTGTTTTTGACATCCTTATTCAGGCTGAGCAATCTTCTGTAATGATTTTGTTGAAATCCCTGAAATGACTTTCGGAGTTAGGATCTATTTAAGTCATTAAGACAGCAGAGCCTGACCTTTAGGGTAAGATCCAAAGCCTATTGCTGCTGATAAGAATTTTAATGTGTACTTCTGTGGTGGCTTTAGATTGACGTGCTTTGACTTGTGGCATTTGTGTAGATGAATGTTGAAGAGGAGAGTCAATTTTTTTGACTAAAACTTCTATTAAATCTATTTTCCATCTTTTTGTTTGTTTGTTTTCTACATGAATTTCAGTATTTTACTAAGAATTAGATTTTTTTATGCCATTAAAATGACATCTTATTTTATACAAGTGGATACATTCAGACTTGAATTTATTTATTAGTTTTATTCTCAGAATTGACTGTATTCAGCAGTGTTACTGAATCAGTCTCACCTGAATTTTTCACTATTCTGTAGGGACTAAGAAGAAAAACATCAGATTGGGCACTGAACAGCTTGCATGAACAGTTCTTGAGACAACTGTATCTATTGTGTGTTCCCAATAGACACTTTAAATTAGCAGGAAAAGCACGATTATTATGGTTTTGGGTACTTTGATGATCTAAACTCTCAAGACATTGAATCCCTTTATCTCAAAGCTTTTGTTCAGATTCCCTCACTGCATAAACCACATGGTCTGTCTTCCCTTTGTTATTCTTCCCTCCGAACCACTTGAATCCAGAGTATGCAGATCTTATGCTACAGATACTATACCATTTAAAATGGGTAAATTCTGGCATGTTGAACATATGAAAATTATGGTGAATCATTGTCAAAAAGTACAGCCCAAGCATTCTTCTGTGTATGACAGAGTTTTCTAAAGAATGGCTACAAATATGCTACTGAGGGTCTAAACCAGCTGAAAGTGGTAAGAATTTGATCTTCATATAATAAACTGTTCCCTTCCTTAGTTTTGAGTGCTGTGCTCCAGTGCACTTGAAGGTTGTGCCATTTAAGTGACCCATCTTCGTAAAGAAGACACAAATTATTTTTCATTTTTCCCAACTTAAAGCTGATTGTCTTAGCTTGGTGACTTAAAAAGTTGTTTTATTTTTTATTATTTTTAATAAAAAGGAGGGGTTTTGAATTGTGAATAAAAGGAGGTGGTTCTTTTTCATGCCTACCACTCACTTTTCTTAGAGGATCCCAGAAGGATGTAGCAGAAGAGAGGCAGTAAAACAGAGCAATGTCCCTTTCTTCTCCTACCCATCCTCAGCAAGGAGATGCTGGTTTCCTTAGGCTGACTTAGAAGCATAGATTACTCTCTCAGTCTTATGGTATCTTTTTAATATATGTGTCTTTGAACTTTTTGTAAGGATTTTGGTCATTTGTTCAGTGTCATTTGTTCATTTATTCTTTCTCACAGGATTTTCTTTGAAAGAAGTATTTCAAAAGCCTCTATTACAGTAGCAGCTTTTACCGAGGCTGTTTCAATTCTGAGATACTCCAGGTTTCAGAATCTGATTTTCAAACTCTCTTGAATCAGGCTGGAAACAGACAACTGAAGTAACTGTTTAGCAAAATAATTATTTTTTTCCCCAGTGGTCTAGAGTGAAATGTATGCAAATATGAATAAAGTGAGCTCTTTTGGAAAGCACTGAGCTTTAATGAATAACGATTTATATAACAGCAAAATAAAGCAAATTAAAATTTGTTGTGAACACAAGTTCTTTTAAAAAGAGCAAATTAAGTGAACATACTGAGAGTTAAATCAAGACACTGGAGGCTTTAATAAGCCTGTTGTCTGCATCAGGAGTGCTGAATAAAAGAGGAATCAAGTAAGACCTTCATAGAATTGGCACTTAAGTGTTTTTGTTTCTACCCTAACTCTGTCTGGCATAATAACACACAGAGTTTGAAATCTTACTCTAGTACATCACTTGAGGTGAAACAATGAGGAAAACTGATCTCTTGCCCACAACCCCTGTGCACAGATTTCCTCAGAAATGGCAGTTTCACTGGAGGGTTTGTTTGTGGATGCTGCATCTATATCTAGAAATTAGCATCAAGTTGAATGTTTCTGTTCTGTCCAAGGCTGGATGGAAAGGAGAAAATAATTAAAAAAAAAATTTCAAGGGAAAATAAACAACAGCAAGAGAAAATACTGAAAATGTCTGCTTTGGTTTTCTTTGGTTGGTTGGTTTGTTTGGGGTTTTTGTGTGTTTGGGTTGGTTTTTTTTTTTCCTTTTCTTTCTTTCTTGGTCAGTCTGATCAACATAATTCCCTAATTAATGGAATTCATAGAGAACAGTTACAGACCAGTATGACTCTAGGTTTTATGTAAGGATTATTTTCTCTCCAGTATCTGGAATGCTAAGTGTGTTTATTTTGACTACATTTATGTAAATATTGATTCTTCTTGCATATATCATGAAAATGAAGATGTGTTGCAAATCATTGTTTTTTTACTGCAGAAGCACAGCAAAAACTCCATCCTCAAAAGAATATTAACCTACCTCCTCAAAGTGGTCAGGCTGCTGTCCCAAAAATCTCCATTCACTAGCCTTCATCTAGTGCAACTGATGGATGACATGATCTATCTCAAAGGGCTTACTTCCACTTTTTGAACATACTCTCTGTGAGATCAAATGAATACAGCTTAATAGCGCTATAAAGCATGTTTAACATCTTAAAGTAGGTACCAGCACATACCAACTACTGTGAGCAGGAAGTTGAACTAGATGACCTCCTGAGGTCCCTTCCAAATTCAGCTTACTCTGTGATGTGATTCTTTCCTTCTCTTTGATAGAGCCGATTCTCTGTTACGAAAAAAAAAAAAGTGAGGAAAAAATGTGGAAAACCTAAAATTGTTGCTGCATAGCTAAGAAGTGAATGAGAGGAGAGGACACTTGTAAAGTGGCATGAGATAAAGCCTGTATAGAAGCTGTCCTAGTTTCTGCTGGGATGGAGTTAATATTTTCTTAGTAGCTGAGACAGTGTCATAAAGTCATAGAATACCAGGTTGGAAGTGACCTCAAGGATCATCAGGTCCAACCGTTCTAGGCAAGCATAACCTAGACTTGATGTCCCAGCATGCTGTCCAGCCAAATCTTGAAAGTGTCCAGGGCAGGGGAAATCAATCAGTGCTGTGTTTTGGCTTTATTCTGAGAACAATGCTGATAACACACCAATGTTTTAGTTGTTGCTTAGTAGCGCTTACCCTGATCAAGGACTTTTCAGTCTCTTGTGCTCTGCCAGTGAGGAGGAGTACAAGAAGCTGGGAGGAAGCAGAAACAGGTCATCTGACCCAAACTGGCCAAAGGGATATTCCCTTTGTGGTATTCCTATGGGTATACCACAGCACATCATGCCCAGTATATAAACTGGGGGGAGTTATCCAGAAGGGACCAGTCACTGCTCGGATCGGGCTGGGTATTGGTCAGTGGGTGGTGAGCAATTGTATTGTGCATCACTTGCGTTTCTTGCGTTTTATTCCCCACTCTCTTTTTCCTCTTGTTATTGTTAGTATTATAATATTTTACTTTTATTTACATTATTAACTTGTTTTTATCTCAGCCCATGGGTTTTACCTTTACCCAATTCTCCTCCCCATCTTACAGTGGGGTGGGAGGAGTGGTTGAGCAGCTGCGTGGTACTTAGTTACTGGCTGGGGTTAAGCCATGACAGAAACCAAAACAGAGGTTTATTTTATAAGGAAAAGAAAAAGGCAACTTAATGAAGTTGATAAGAGATATAATTCTTTATATCCAATTTAGATAATAAACAGTAGGTATTTTGATGTGTCATGCTACAGAAAATATTTGTGGATGGATAAATGGAATGTTAACTTAATTTTACAAAGTTAACTTGTACTACCAAGCACAGTATTTTGCTTGTGCTTCTGTTTTATCCTTTGATATAAGTTATTATAAAAATTGCCAAACAAATGACACTATTCACCTAATCTGAATGTCACAAAAGATGTTCCTATCTTGTATGAATACGTGAGATAAGGAGGCAGAACTCATGTGAACAGCAGTGTATTCGTACAGACTTTTTCAAAACCTTTTCTGCCTGACAATACCTTTTCACCTAAAACTTCATACTGGTTTTACATTGTGATTAGCACTTCATAGGAGCATGTGTGTATTTGCTCTCGTTACATTGATTGCATCACTAATTTTCCATTTTCTGTATTGTAACAGCTGGAAACAGTGAGAGTGAGGGCCAAGAAGCAGTGAGGAAAATACAAGAAGAAACTTCGTCTGGAAAAGGTAGCACACTTTATCCTTTTCTTTAAGGAACACTTTATTCCTCTTTTTCAGCTGGCACCTTTTCTTAAATTAGCCCTCTTTGTGTATTGTTAAACATCTTTTACTTTGTGGAAACTAATCCTTAAAGTAAATCTGACACAAAGGGTAAAATCAGTGGAGTATATTTTAAAAATGTTTTTGGTTTTGTTTGACTTCTTCACCATTTGTCGTTGCAAAAGGGCTGCCTGCAAGTTGCAGTCTGCCTGCACGTGTGTATGGGCACAATGATTTAATAGCTGGGCAGAAAATCAGAATGCTAGTCATTTCTGCTAAGGAGAGGATGACAACAGGTAGGAGTGGGTGTGCTATTTTTCATTGCTGGTCTTGCCTCCACCATGTATAATCCCATAGAAAAGTGTTTGGCTTTTTTTTTGGGGAGGGGGTAAGACGTTTCTAAAAGAAAACATTGCCCAGTTGGGATATTCGACACATGTTGAGAGCTTATCACAACATCCTTCACAAAATGAAACTGTTTTCTTAAAAATAGCTGGACCTTTCATATCAAGCCAAAATTCCTATGTTTTTGCAGTTCTTCCATTTTTTCTCTTAATCCCATGAGCAATCATGTTGGGGTGGCGTAAGGTGAGTGTAGCTTGATAACTATGAGAAAAGGCATATTGCGCACTCTCTGCTGTGTGATTATAATTTGCAATTTACAGTGGAGGTTAGTGCATCTAATGTTTCCATCTCGGATTCACTGGGTGTAGTTCCTATTAGTGTATGATGATTCACTGATGCCACTTTGATGTATCATTTCTTGGCAAAATAATAGGGCAGTGCTTCTAGTCCACCCTATTTAGGATCTTCGTGGCTTCTTCTGAGATCTGATTCTGGTTTTGTGCCTTTAATAATTACTGTTATGATGATCAAAATGGGTTAATTATTGTGTTAAAACCCCCTTTCATTAAGATTTATCTTTTGACTTAAATGTGCACCCATCGTAGCCTCAGGATACATGTATGCTAGTTAGAAGCATCATAAATTAAGGTATAGTCAGAAGGATCATGAAAGGAAAAAGGTAATTATTACATTGTTTAAACCTTTTGCTGGAAGTTTCTGTACAGAGACCAAAACCATTTGGAGTTAATTACCTCACGTGAGCTGCATGAAGCTGAATAAAGCAGGGTCTGTCTTATTTTCTCACAGCCATGTGATCACAGGCTTTTCTAGCACCCCAGTCTTTCTTAGGTTTTCTGAGTGAAGTAAGCTCTAACCTTCAGTTATAAACTTTGTCAAGATACAGTTGGCAGTTTGAGGAAGCTGAAAGTGTATCTAAGGTTGACCGATGTTTATTATAATGAGTAAGGCTTTAGTAATCTCAGGTTCTGGTAGATTTGGCCCTAAAACAAATGGAAAGAGAATTTCAAGAATTTCCTTAAAACGAATTTCAGTAATGTCTTCCCGATTGAGGGCTATTTGTACTTACAAGTGCATTGTCCTGTGCAGATGTGAGTCTGAGCAGCAGTCCTGTGTGAGGAAAGCTGCTTACAGAAACTGTTCTCATCTGAAATACTGGGCTCTTGAAGGAGAACTACTCAAAGCAGTATTGCTGGGCAGCCAGCATTATCAAGGATTAGGGCAATATAGCTGTCCTTCTTTTACTTGTAAAACTGTGCCATCAGTTTGCTATCCAGACCTCAGATCTCTAATAACAAAGAAAATCTCCTTGCTTATTAGCAGGTTAGACAGCAAAAGGGAGCAAGAGACCTTGGCCTCTCCTCATTTCCTGGCCGAGCCATATATAGCACAAACATCCCTAGAGACAGCTCTGGTAAAAGGCCAGGCTTGTTGAATGCACATGTAATGTAATTACAGAGTTTTTAAGGTGATATGGTCCTTCTGTGTCTTGGCCACTGTCTGTCTGGGGCTCTGTCTGCTATCTAAGGATAAGTAGTTTTACTTGACATTATCTACACTTCAGACACAAGTGAGTTTCGAAGCATGTACATAAGTGATTCCTATGAAGCAACTGATGAGCTGTTAACAATTTCAGAGGAGAATAAAGGGTAATAATCAAAAGGCTATGCATGCAGGTGATGATTGTTTTTTTGCAGCAGCAGCAGCAGAATGGAAAGACAGGAAGAAAGGACTGACAAGATTTCTGAATACAGGGTGGCAGGAAGCCTCTTTTCTCATGCTGGAGGCATTCAGACCAGAACCAATGCCAAAAGATGGTAGGGTATTGGAGAGGAAAGCAGTTGCAGCCATCCTCCTAAAAGGCAGTGATGCTAAAGGACACAAAAAAATCTAAGCAATGTGTCACATCACCTCTTCTTACCACCCATCCTCTCTCATGGTGCTATACCAGAAACCTCTTTGGTACCTCTCCTGGCTGATTCCAGACTGTTTAGGTGTTCTTCTCAGTTTGGGGTCTCTGTGCTGAGTTACCTGTTGCTAAGTGTAAACAGTTAAGAAGGACATGGGCAACTGAGTGGAAGAGAATAAGGTATAGGTCCTTGGGGCATGATGGAACCAATTCACTTGACCATCAGAACCTCTTCCGTGATAAAGCAATCAAAGCCCTCAGATATTCAGAGCAGACCAGAAGAGGTGCTGCATTGTCATTGAAATTATCAAACGGCCACTATTTCCAAAAGACCAAAGGCAACAGATTGCTACGCTCTGAATCATAAAGCTGGGAGAAGCCAGAATGATGTGGGCATTTATCTTGCTTCCATTTGTTAAATTGGGAACTTGTGTTGTTAATAGTAGCAATTATATGGCTGGGAAAATTGTTGATGGCTAGGGATTGCCACAGAGATATTCTAATTGTGTAAGTCTCTGTAATTTACTCAGGGTGTGTCTATGTTAGTGTGTTCGTTAGTTAGATCAAGAGAGTGCTTTTCAGGCAATGTTCAACGGTTGCCTGCTTGCTGAGCACAGGTTTGCATCAGGAAGGGCATTGCAGGTCCTGACCTGGATTCTCTTTGGGCAGAAATAGCCTGGGAGGTGAACTGCAGCAGACTGACTTCTATTGATACAAACTGCTTGTTAATGTAGCTGTAACTACAGTTACCAGTCCTGATCAAACTACATTGAGTCGTAGGATTGGGAAGTTTCTGTGATAAACTCAATTCTCAATGATACTATGAAAAATCTTTCCGTGTACATAATACAGCTTATCTCCTCAGTTACCCTCAGTTTACGTCTCTGCAAATGAAAGCTGGTTTTAGCCCGATGATTACAAACATACAAATGTTGGAAACTAATATATAAACATGAATGAAAGCTACATTCATTCCAGCATAGGTTCATGAATGCCAATGGAATCAGCAATTAGCAAAAGTTTATGCATAAATATCACTTAACATAGTACTGAGGAAAGGCTCTCACAAGTGCAGTGTAGGAGCTGGAGTTGCAACCACACTCAAAGAAGAAAAAAATTAAAAGTTAGTGAGAAAACAGGGTGTAAAAGTCATATTAAGCACAGACCTCTTCAAAAGAAGAAGCCTGTGTTTAATCTCACCCAACATTTTTGCGGCAATTCAAATAAAACCACAATTATAAAACTAAGCACTAAATCCACAGCATTCATGAGACTTCCATTTGAAGCCAGGTGAGAAAGGAAGGAGAGACTTTCTCCCTCGGAGTCAGAGGAATGCAGAGGTTAGCACAGTGGCAACCAAATTGTGTCATTTACAGTCTGACCCACATCAAGACAGCGTGGGCTAAGCAGTAGGTGGAATGATAGTGCCTTAGAAACACTGCAATTCGCGTGCATTCAACAAGCCTGGCTTTTTCCCAGAGCTTTCTCTTGGGGTGATTGTGCTATGTATGGCCCAGCCAGGGAATAAGGAGATAACAAGGTTGCTTGCTCCCTTTTGCAGTATAACCTAATGAGCAAGATTTTCCTTGTTATTAGAGATCTGAGATCGAAGAGTTTACCCAAAGAAGGGGTAATCCAGCTGATAGGTACCAAGCGTAATTGCAGAGTAACTCATGGATGGTTACTCCACTGATGTTCATTCTGTCAGGCACTAATTTTAACAAAAGTCCACATTGCTCTGCTCTATACCAAACTGTTGTTGGCTTTCCCTGCAAGCTAGAGTAAGCCAGTTGCTGAGAGTTCCCAAATTCCCAAACTTTTAGATTTGTTTTTGCCCAAGAGTCAGTGGTGATATTCCCATCACATGGGCCAGAGTTGTGAAAGCTATTCAGCAGATACCAGTGCCTTCTTAAAATGTTCCAAACTGTCTCTTAGAACTTTTTTTTTTTTTGACATAATGTGTCAGAGATGTTGTTACAGAAGGGATCATCCAACCAGTCAACAATGGTAGAAAATATTTGTGGTTGAGGAGTATTTTCTATGTGTGTGTGTAAGCATGTGTAAGTTTATGCTTGCTTGTGTCGTATTTGCTTTTTATGGTGTAGTTTTGAGGTGTAAAAGCATAACATCCTGAGCTTGTGGCAAGACCTGTCATGGCTGCTTTGTTCCTTCTACCACATCCTGCCATTGGCATATCCTTTCTGTACCACTGCTGATGCTGAAAGACCCATAGGGTTGGTTTAAAGAGTTTCCTAGCAATAACAGTACAGTTTCCGTCTATATGGCTTCTTTTTTCATGCTACTGCATTATCTCTAGTACTTAGCTTTGGCAGGTCAGGGACTGCCTTCAGTTGGAGTTGTACAACTGAACGCCAGGCTCATGAAGACATCTTGAAAGACAGGGTGGTGATATGGGTGAGGAGTAAAGAGGTGTTGATCTGACAGTATGCCACAGGTCCCTGCGTGGAACTGCAGAGCACTTCTGCTTTGTCACTTGACGATAGGTATAAGAACTTTGCCTAAACATTAAGATTTCTTTTCTTTCTGTAGCCTCATCTGAGGGTATATCAGATATATTCAAGCCTTATTAAAATACTTGAATCTTGAAAAATATTGGATGTGTTAATCTAAGTCTATAAGGACTGGATCCTCCACGTGCTTAAGGGATGGAAGACCCCTTTCTAGAGTCTAAGAA